TGGTGGGCCAGACCCATCAGATAAGCCATTTGAGAGCAGAACATTCTCCATAGCCAATAGCATAGTGGAAGTGGGAGGGATTTGAAGGTGTGAACATTTGGACAGGGTGTTGCTGGCTTTGAAGATGGACTGAGACATATTTCAAGGAGAGAGGGTGACAGTATTTAGGAGCTGAGAGTAGCCTGAGAATGTGCTCCAGTCAGAAAATGGGGGCCCCAGTCCTTCAACAAAAGGATCCAAATAACCTGCAACAACCAGACAGATCCTAGAGGTGGGCTCTTTCCTCAAATCTGCTCATCAGGGTCAAGGCCAGAAACGGGATAGGAAAGGCCAAGGTTGGCCTGAGTGGAAACAGGGAGGTGGTGATGGCGCTTAGAATGTGAAAGGAGCATCCTGAGGAAATCACTCACTTCACAGACAACTACAGGGCTGGTAGAAATCTAGACTTCAGAATGCTGCCACTGAGGGCCTGGACGGAATTAAGGAAGGCTGATCCTTGCTAGGAGGCTGCAGAGTGCTCAGCAGAGCTAGGTACTGCCAGTATATGGAAAGCAAGTGAGGCTGGCTATGGCTGAGGAGGTGATGGGTGTGCACCTTGGAGTCTTCTTGCTACGTATGGTGAAATGCAAGAGGAGGGGTAAATGGAGGCAGGACTGATAAAAAGGAACAGGATCTGAGGATGTTGACGTTTCTAGCATCACTAGATGGCCAGCTATGGGAAAAGCAAGAGACTCCCTGTTGGAAAAGTGGGCCCTTCAGTAGAGGCGAGGATGGGACTCAAGACTCTTCCCTGAAACCCGAAGGACAGGCCCAGAGCTGACTGCCTGTGTGGCTTCTTGATTTTGGCTCACCCTCCACCTTTTCCAGGGCTGTGCATTCTGCCTTTTGGGCAAAACTAGCAGGGAAGGAGTGAGTACCCCATGGTACCCGAAACAGATAATGTGGGCTCCAAGCCCAAGTTGTCATTAGAGCCATAGCTCAGAAAAGCCTATCAGCACTTGTGCACTAAAACAGAACAAAGTTACTAAAACAGGTTTTAGTAGGATCCAGGGTTTTCTATCATAATATTCAGAATGTGCAGAATAAAATTGAGAATCACTTGTTATACCAAGCAGGGAGAAAAAAATACAAAGCTGTCAGTGAGAAATTACAAATAGCCCCAAAACAAAACAAAACAAAAAAATTAGAAAATCTCAGCAAGCACATGTACTCATTATAAAGAAAAAGATGTAAATCATAGGACTGAAAAAGAGAGTAACTGTCACTGAGGCTGTCAGAGGATCAAGTCAGTGGAGGGCAGACAAAAAAATTTACTCAATATGAGTAAGAAAGAAGTAGGTTGGGAACAAGTGAACAGAGCTTCAGGGACTTGTGAACAATGACAAAAGATCTTAAGTTCTGTAATTAGAATCTGAGGAGACGGGAAAGGGTATAGGGATGAAACAGTATTTGAGAAATAGTGGATGAAAACTTCCCAAATTTTACAAAAGACACAGCTTATGGATTTGAAAAGTTGAGAAATCACAAAAGTGACAAATCCAAAAAAATCCATGCCAAGGTAAATCATAAGTAAGCTTGTGAAACTTAGAAGACAAAGGAAGAATCTTAAAAACATCCTGATATTACACTAATTTGAATGAGGATAAATTTCTCACCTGAGACCAAGGAGGCCAGAAAGAC